GACGGCGGCGAACTGTGTGTTCGCGGCAAAAGGCAAGCGAACCGCGCCACCCGGGTCCCTTTTCAAGGGACTTGGGCTTGTGCGCCGCTTGCCGTGCCCGAGCGCTCCGGGCAGGCGGCAGCAATGGCGGTTCGTCGGGATCCGCGGAGAACAAACGGCTCGCTGGAGCTCTTGGCGGAGCGCAGTGTGGCGAGACGAAAGCTCGACGCGGACAGCAACATGGCGACTGCCATCTGGATCTTGCTCGCCCTTTGACATGGGGGCCCCTTCGGCTCTCATTCGATTTGTTCTTACAGTTGCTAGCGCTGCTGCACCAGCGCCGCTTGGCAGAAAAGGCGACGCCGTGGCTTCAAGAGGATGACGTGCCAGCAGACGCGGGCGTTCCCCCTGAGGAAGCCCGTCGCGTGGTTGACATCATGACAGGCGCGAAGTTCGGGCATCCCGATCGGTGCAAGGATCGGGTTTCGCTCGAAGTCCTCCGGGCGATGAGGCGAGCCCGGTCCAGGACGCACGCTGTAGCGATTGTTCTTGCTGTTTGATGCAAGTCGAGCCCCTGGGGGCTGTCGGAGAAGATGGCGGCCGCCTCGCAGGCGGAGGCAGAGTCCCTGGTCCGAGACCACAAAAACGGCGCCGCCTACGAGCAGACTGGGAACACCAAGGATCTGACGACGAGGACTATACACATCCACAGGCCCTGGCCAGGCCCATCTTGGGCCCAGGGGCGGTGTATACGCCCTCCTGGCTTGGTCAGGGAGGCATGTACACCGCCCCTGGGCCTAGGATGGGCCGGGCCAAAGGCTGTGGATATGTGTAGTCCTCGTTGCCCAAAAGGAGGATTCGGCGCGTGGGCTCTTCGCCGCGGCGTCGGCGGTGGAAAGGCGAGCCCCGTATCGCGACTGGCGCCAGCTGGAGAATGCGACTGCGCAGCGGGTCCAGCAGCATTGCCGCGGCAAGTGTCGTGAATGGTTCAGCGCCAGGCAGGCGGCTGCGGACCTCTGCCGCTTGCGCAGCTTCGTAGGCGGCCTCGCCAGCGGCATGCGGCCAGCCCAGTGCGCCTTAGGGCCTGGAGCACGCGAAGGCTTCTACCTCGCAGAACGCGGGAAGAAACTTCGAAACCCTCGGTATAGGATGAAGCGCGTGCCGCGCCGGTGTGCGTTTCTGCGCCAGACGGGCTTTTGTGAGTTCATGAAATTTGTGAAGAGGATGAATTTTGATGCATCTTGTGCCCGTGCGCGATACCAGCCTACGGAGGATCCGATGCCGCGTTAGGCAAAGTTGCGCGCGTCTGTTTGGGGATTTAAGGTTCGAGTTAGTGGGGCTAATTGCGATCACGAAAAAACCATCGCCATCATCATCATGATCATCATCGTCATCATCATCATCATCATGGTAATCTCTGTGGTCTCCGGGGCCCTTGGGGTGCAGTCAGAAGTGGCGCCTGTGGTTTTTTATTGCGATATCTCTATGTCTTCACAAAATGAAAACTCCGGGGATGCCAGGCCAATTTTTTTTCAGGCCGACGGCTTGTTTTTTACTTTCGTGATATTCCTTGTGGTCTCCGGGGGCCCCGGGGCGCAGTCAGAAGTGGAGCCTGTGGCTTTCTATTGTGATATCATTATGTTTTGACAACATGAAAACTCCGGGGGTGCCAATCCAATTTTTTTCAGGCCGACGGCTTGTTTTTTTTTATTTTCGTTGTATTCCCTGTGGTCTCCGGGGTCCCCGGGGTGCAGTCAGGAGTGGGGCCTGTGGCTTTTATTGTGATGTGGTTATGTTTTCGCAACATGAAAACTCCAAGAAGCCGAGCCAATTTTTTTTCAGGCTGACGGCTGGTTTTTGCACTTTTGTGGTGTGCGTTGTGGTCTCCGGGGCCCCCGGGTGCAGACGCGGAGTGGCGCCTGTGGCTTTTCTTGTAATGTGTTTATGTTTTGTTTAGGTCGACGGCTTGTTTCTTACTTGTAACATATCTGTTCATCTAACTTGATTATCTTTTTCTGTATGGCTCAAGCAGTAATCAGCGAGGCTGACCGCGCTGCTCGCCTAAATTTATATATTTACCTGCTTGCTTCTCCACTCAACCATGGCTTATTTATACGGGTGGGAGATCAAACGCGGCTTCTTCCATGATCTGCAACCCCCAGGCGACGAAGACAAAGCGTGGGAATGTCAGAGTTGCCCTGGGTGCTTGGAACGCAGCGGCGTGGAGACCCACCAAGCAGCTGACGTAGATGCGCCCCAAGCAGCTGATGTGGAGAGCGTCCCTGTATCTTGCGCGCCAGATTTTGTCGTGGCGGATTATCCGGCCGTCATATTCAAATCTATTCAGTCGTACGACCTCAAGATGAATTCGGTACCAGGATACGTTTTCATGGCCGCAGGGGACATCGAGGTGATCGATGGCTACTCGATGCTACCGCTAGTCGGTGGAGGAGCTATTTAAGTGGATTGCTGTCGACCAGCAATAACAATGGACTTCGATTTGAAACGCCCTATCAAGGTCATTGAAATTGACTCGAAAAGGAAGAAGTACTTGCATGGACAGCTTAAACCCGATCGGTTCCGGGACAACAGAGACATGCAATTGACGTACTTCCGTTTCATCCATCGGATTCGCAAAAGATCTTTCGGACCCAATTACACAGCCATGTCGCAGGTTCAGGATGAAAGATGCGAGCTCGTCTGCTTTATCGACGCGTGTCGTCACATTGGTGCGAAGATACCGTACACAAAGAACGGCCCATTTTGGGCTTTGCGCGATGGGAATCAAATGCTGAGAAAGGTGGGGAAATGCTTGCAAAGAGTTCACCCACATGAGATAAGCACTAACAGTAAGTACGTCGTTCATATTCCTGCAGCTAGCGGCCGCATTGGCCATTTCATGACCCTCAGCGTATAGTCTGAAGCATATGAGTTGTGGGACCGGGATGAAGGCACCAAGGTCATATATCGAGTTGATCGTGACTCTGTAATGACTTACTTGTTTGCGATATGGAGTCATTTAAACGTGAAGATCTACAAAATGGATAAGATGATCGTTGGCCCAATGCCCCTCGAACCAAAACAGGACGATTCCCTTGGCGTCGTCGCCGCTTGCTTGACCTGGCGGGAATCTGAGGTGCCATCGCCGACAAGCTCTTGCGGAACACCACGTTCGCCAACTACGCTGATCAGGGCTCAGGAGTGTGACGCGATGTTGCGCAGACTTGGCGGCCGCCGCATGGCCCGGGCCGCCGAGCTCAGGCGTAAACGCTACGCTACAAACCTGCCGGAGCTGGACGATGTTTTCGATTATGATCTCGCCGTTGATTCGTTCGAGCCGTCTATTGGGGCGCCGCTGCCTCGTGGCGATTGCGTTATGAGCCACCATTCGCACTGCGGCGGCATTGATTCGTCGTCGTCGATTGAGTACACAACCGCGCAGTGGCATTTGTACATCAAGTACCGTCTTGGACGGTATTCGATGAAAGAACTGGTGCGTCGCATGCCTACCGTGGCACCAATTTTGGAAGTTCCAGGCCGCGATGCGCTTGGGACCTTTTAAGATGCAACTCGCCTCTGGATGTTACCATTTGCAGCGGCAAACCGGTGGGCGTAGCTGTCGAGACGTTCAACTCTGGGATTCATTCTCCCGTCGACGGCAACCTTTCACAATCGTACTCTAGAAAGAAACGCAACGATTTTTGCCAAATCATGAAAACCTTCAGGTGGGAGTACGTTGTTCGCACGGCAGCGGCGAGGCGACTGTCCATGGAATCTGAGGTCGGCGACTCCCAGCAGGAGAACATCGGCGAAGCAGCGGACTCTTTCGACGCAGAAGTTGGCGCAGGAGGGAGGTGTCTTCCTTTCCATGGTTTCACTTTGGTGGCGCAAGGTGAAGATTTGATAATCTCTAGCTGCCGCGTCAACGCCGAGGACGGGCCGGTCTCTCGCGGAGTAGGTCTGGCATCAAGCGTCAGGGTTCACAGCCGCGGGTGTTTGGTCTGAGGTCTCCAGCCCGGCGGCCCAGGGGTGTTGGCTTCAAATGTCCGGCTTCGCGTCTAGGGTGGAGTTGGCCCGGCGTGTTTGGCCATCTGGGTGCGCGCCCGTCCGCAGATATGCGCGAGCAGGTCCCCCCTGCCACGCCCGAAGTTTCGTGCGGAAGGGTCCCTATCCGTAGCTATTTTGGCTCGCGAGCTGCACCGATCCTTTCCCTTCGCATCTGCCCTGCCGCAGTGCGCCCGCCACCACCTGCGAGGGGCCATGGCGCCCGAGGCGAAGACCCCGACCAAGGGTGGCGCCAAGGCGAAAGCGACCGCGAAGTCAGCTGAGAAATCCGCTCAGGCTGCGCGGAAGCAGAGAGCTGCGGCCGAGGCGACCACGCTGCTTGAGAAAGAGAGCCTCGCGCAGCAACCCAGTGAGCGAGGCCGCGCCGACGATGGCCACAGGGCTGCTTGTTTGAAGATCATGAGCGGCCACTTTTCGACTCTGAACGACGACGACGAGTGCTTGCGCCAGATCGGCGGGTACGCGCTGGAGAAGAAGATCGACGTGGACCGCAAGTGGTGGCTCAACTACGAGATGACCATGGGCAAAAACTATTCTGATGCATTGCGGACGCAGTATTTAACTGAGGAGGTCCCGTGGAAGCGCATCAGGGCCCACTGCGAGGCCGACAGCGACGACGATGATTTGGAGGGAGCTTTATTATTCCAGGCTGCCAAGCACGCGGCGGACTACGAGCCGCTAGCCCTTTGGCATGAGCAGGAGAAGCTTCCTATCCAAGAGAAAATGCGGCCGGCCTCGTGAAGAGGGTTCTGCTGTGCGACCCTAGAGCAGACGCAGGGAAAAACGAAATCCTCGTGAAGATCTTCATCTGGTGCCAAAAAGTCGAGCTCCAGGAGCGCTACCCCGCACTCTGGCAGCTCGCCGAGGCGTTCTTCCGCATTGTTATCGAAAAGAGCTGCGCCACTGCGAAGGCGGATGGCCTGAGTGTGAAGTGTTGGTGGATCTGTGTGAAAGAGGTTTCCTCGATACTCCTGGACGTCGACGCCTTCGACAAGTGCGTCAAGTGCGATAAGAATTGCAACAGCCGCACGGCCGCCGATGAGGGAAAATGAAGGCGGGCAAGGGGCTTGGGCGGAGGTGAGCGAAAGAGGAGGAGAGGTAGCGCGCGGCGGGGGGGCGATGGCGGGGGGGGGTGTCAGAGGGACGGGGGGTATCTGGGGAGCGCCTGGGGGGGGGAGCAACCAAAACAAATGTTCGATAACAAAAGTTTTGTTCCCCCCCCCGTCCCCCCCAGGCAGCGCCGTGGGCAATTGGAGGGGAGGGGAGCGTTCTGGCCTCTCGCCCTTTCCTCCCTCTCCCACTCCCTCCCTCTCCCCCCCCTCCATGCCGCGCCGCTCCCTCTCTCTCTCTCTCTCTCTCGATATATATCGCCCTCCTTCTCACCCCCACCCGCGCTGCTGCAACGCGCGCCTCTGAAGTCAATCGTGCCGCGCGGCGGCCCCCGAAACCGCCACCCCAGAATCCCCCGTTCTCCCCCAGAGATGCTGCTTCCGACACCTCCTCAGCCGAAACTCCCGAGGCTCCGCCCGCCCCCATTCTCCCTGCGACGGCGATCGGGAAGCTGGCAGTCGTCGAGCTGAGCCCGACCCCCAGCTCCGCCCCACCTCCGCCATCTAGTGACGCCGCCCGCAGTCCACCGGCAGGTTCCCGCGACTGCAGCCCAACCTCGCCGGCGGTTGAGTCCGACGAGGGTGTCCCTCCTCGCGCGGCTGGCGACGGGGGGCGCGGACGCCCCCTCTGGCAGCATAGCAGCATCCCCCACCCCTACTAACGCGCCCCCCCAGGGACAGCTTCTGGTCGAAGGTGACGCACGCGACGCGGGCAACCGTGGAGGCCAGTGGGACAGCTACCGCTCGTGGAGGCACTACGTTTCCAACCGTGAGCCCTACAGTCGCAATTGGAGTGGGTGGTCGGATTGGTCCAGCTGTGGCTCCGCTCGCCGCAGTGAATCGTGGAGCCGTGCCCGCTCCCAGCGGGCGTATACAGAGGATCGGATTGCCCCTTGGCCCAACGCCACCCCATCGAATGACCTAGCCGACCCCGACACTGGTCGGTGCATGTGCAGGGCCCCGCTGGAGGTCCAACTCTCCCCCATCGGTGGTAAGGACCACGCCGCCGCAGTGAAGCGCCTGAGCTGCCACTTGCTCTCCAATGCTCTTTAAGATTTCTTGTATACCACACCCTCCCCGCCCAGTCGGATTCCACCGCCCGGGGCCACCTTTCAGCATGCAAGAACTGGTCGAGGGAACTCTGCATGCCAGACCCACAACAGGACCCTCGCTTGCCCCCCGGGGTTTTTGGATACAGTGTATCAAAGGCCGGAGTGCCGTGGGCCTGGGGCGCAGGCTGGGGCACCCTCCCGAATTACTCCCCGCCCTTTCTTTTTGAGCGCGCCCCCCTCCAGCTCCGCGGCCCCCTGGGCCTTCTCCTGGCCGCGCAAGCCAGCGTCGGTGGGGGCGCGTGTGCGCGACAAGAGCGGCGCAATGGGGCCCAAGACGCTTCAAGATGTCCTCAAGACGGCCGACGAGCCTCCGAGAGGCCTCCAAGACACCTCGAGAAGGTTCCAAGATGCCCGTAACCCTTTGGCTCAAGACTGATTGGCTTCAGCTGGGCCTTCGCAATCTAAAGCACACCCGCCCACTCCGCGTACATCCTACACCTTCTGGTCGGTTCACCTGTCCCGAAGATGGCCCGTCTCTTATTTTATCGCTTCGCCCACTCCGCCAGCCCGTATTGTTTGCCTGCGCTATCGTGGCTTCTTGGGGCCTCGTGGGGGCCGTTTGGGGGCCTCGTGGAGCCTTTGAGGCCTCGTGGGGCCTCCAGGGGGCCTCCTGGGCTCTCTTGGGGGCCTCTTGGGGCCTCCTGGGTGCCTTTTGGAGCGGAAAGCTCGAAGTGGTGGTTCGTGTTCCCCCCCCCTTTTGGGCCTCTCTTGGGGGCCGTCTTGCCGCCCTCTTGGGCGATCTTGGGCGCCGTTTTGGGGCCCCCTGGTGCCATCTTGGAGCGTCGGAGAGCCGAGAAGGCGAGAACGCCCAGATCTCCCAAAAACGTATGGGAAATCAAAATTCTGCGCCTCTGGGGGCCCTCTTGGGAGGTCTCTTACAGGATGCTTGGGGCGTCTTGCAGGCTTCTTGGGCCGTCTGGAGGCCACCTTGGGGTCTTGGACTGGTCGTTCGGTGAGTCGGAGCCCTCTTGAACCGCCTTGGGGGCCTCTTGGGGCTGTCTCGGCGCGCTCTGGGGGGCCCTGAGAGGCCGCTCCCAGGAGGAACACCACCTCCGAGCAAAGGTTCGCCGGGGATCCCCCCAGGGGCGGCCCCGCGCGCGCGAGCTAGGACACGAACACTCCGGAGCCAGTTGCAGGAGCTTTCAGCACGCCTCTGGCCCTCTTGGGCCGGCGAATTGAAACTGATGCTTGCCCGCTCTGTCGGGGCACGCGGGGCCTCTGGCCCGGGTGCGGCCCCCGCCGAGTCCGGCCTGGTGCAGCCTGGGGCAGCGGTGAGCAGGAGCAGCGCCTCGCAGCTGACAGGAGGGGGGAGTCGACGGGATCCGTGGTGGGAAACCCCCACGTTCTCTCCGACTCCCTACCCGACTCCCCACCCGACTGCCTGTGCAGACACCGACGGTGGGGCCCTGGACAGTTATGGCGACCCCTGTGCCGACTATGTGGCCTACCCCTCATGGTGCTCGGGTTACGACGATTGGGATTTCACATCGTCGCACATGTGCTGCGCCTGCGGCGGAGGGCAACCCGCACCAGCGCGGGACTCTTGCGACGCAGCCATAGATCTGTCCACAGTGTCCAGCCCTTACCATGGTACGACAGTGACAGGCATGAACACACATGCCACATCATGTGGTGGCAATGGGAATGAACAGATCTTCTACATCGATGTTCCATCTGGCTTCACATTGACAATCGGCATGTCCAGCAACGCTTACGACAGCCGCCATGAGACACGTTGGGGTGGTGCATGCCCGGGTACCAACCTTGTGTTGTGCACGGACGATCCCGATACCAAGCAGCACGTTTGGAGTAACAGCCACGGAACATTGCAGCGAACGTACTTCATCATCGATGCATATTCGAGCGGCGCTGGAAGTTTCACATTGACTTGGAGCGTTTCGAGCGTGACGCAGTTGTCCAACGACGGTGGTTGTGAAACCGAATCGACTTATTACGGGGAAGTGTCACTCGAGGAATGCGCGGAGCTAGTGATCGCGGATTCGGCATGCAGCAATTATTTTATGTTCAGTCACACGTATCCCTCATGGGGTTGCAGATGCTGCGCTACAACCGCATACAAGAGTGATGGCAACGCTAATTGGTGGATTTATTCGGTTCCAGTATCGCAGAAAGCAACGCGGTTCCCGACGCCCTGCCCGACGCTTTTCCCGACGCCCTTTCCTACGGCCTTCCCGACGCCCTTCCCGACGCCCTTCCCGACGGCTTTCCCGACGCCCTTTCCTACGGCCTACCCGACGGCCTTCCCTACGGCCTTCCCGACGCCTTTCCCGACACCATTCCCGACACAATTCCCGACGCTCTTCCCGACGCTCTTCCCGACGCCTTTCCCGACACCATTCCCGACGCTCTTCCCGACGCCCTTCCCGACCACCTTCCCTACGGCCTTCCCGACGGTTTCCCCTACGGCCTTCCCGACGCCCTTTCCGTCTCCCTCCCCGACGCCTTTCCCGACGCAGTTCCCGACATCCTTCCCAACGCCTTTTCCGTCGCCTTTCCCGACCCCCTTCCCGACGCCTTTCCCGACGCCTTCCCCGACGCCTTTTCCGACGCCTTTCCCGACGGCTTTCCCTACGGCCTCTCCGACGGCTTTCCCTACGCCCTTCCCGACGCCCTTTCCGACGCTCTTCCCAACGTTTTTCCCGACGGCTTTCCCTACGGCCTTCCCTACGGCCTTCCCGACGCCCTTCCCGACGCCCTTCCCGACGCCCTTCCCGACGCTCTTCCCGACGGCCTTCCCGACGCCCTTCCCGACGCCCTTCCCGACGCCCTTCCCGACGGCCTACCCGACGGCCTTCCCGACGCCCTTCCCGACGCCCTTCCCGACGGCCTACCCGACGGCCTTCCCGACGCCCTTCCCGACGCCCTTCCCGACACCCAGTCCGACGCCCAGCCCGACGTACCCTCCGGGTTGGCCGACGCCACATCCGACGTTTCCTGCAGGAGTTGGTCCAATGGTGGGCGGAGCCGGCGGTGTAGCTGCCACTGGCGATCCCCACTTGCAAAACGTCCTTGGTCAGCGGTTCGATTTGATGAAGCCGGGCAAGCATGTCCTGATAAACATCCCTCGTGGAAGGCACAAGCACGCATTGCTTCGCGTGGAGGCTGATGCGCGCCAGACGGGTGGACAATGCGCAGACATGTATTTCCAAGAGCTGAATATCACGGGGGAGTGGGTGGAGGCGGAAGGTGCCCGCGGTGTCCGTTTCCAAGCTCAGGGTGGCCACGACGAGCAGCCGAAGTGGTTCAAGTTTGGGAAGGTGAGTGTGAAAGTTGCCCATGGGCGCACTTCGGACGGGGTCCAGTATTTGAATTTTTACGTCAAGCATCTAGGGCATTCTGGGTTTGCGGTCGGCGGGTTACTAGGAGAAGATGATCATACGGAGGCAGCGATGCCTTCGGAGGCATGCGCCCACCACCCTTCCCTGATGCAGATCTCGTCCCAGACGGGTCAGAGCGCGTCTCTCTTCTCGGTTGCAGAGGCAAGCTTCAGCTGAAGACATTCGGGTCAGCGATCACTTCGACAGCTGCCCCGCAGCGGCCACTGCGTCCGGCGGCTCCGTCGGTTGGGTAGGCCATCCCTGTGGGGACTGCGGGGCCAGCTGTCACACCTGACGCCAGTGCGCAGCGCTCGGCCCTTGTGGCTGGACCGCGCGGCGACGGGGGCCCAGCTGCGGCTTCAGTTGCAGTGGCAGGCCTCGCGTGAGGGCGTCTGATCACTTCGACAGCATCTCCGAAGCGGCCACTGCGTCCGGCGGCTCCGTCGGCTGGGTAGGCCATCCATCCCTACGGGGACTGCGGGGCCA